TTTACTAATAATTCAAAATGCAGTTTCTTCTCCAATAAAGTGTTCTCCAGTCGCTCTCTGACCCTTGTGCTTATGTTTATCATGTAAAACAGTCTCAGCCACTATTCTGTTGTTTGACAGCAGGAATACTTATCCTACCTTCTTTGATATTTCAAGTACATCAAATTAGTAGACAGCATTTAATAAAGTTTTAAAAAGCAGTCACTGAAGTTGAACCACACTACCTGGAGATTTCTATAGACTACCATATAATTGTTTTTATTTAACTTTCAGTACTTTCTCATCTATGAAGAATCACATTTCCATCTATTATTTCACTTTTTTTCCAGTTTTATAGCCTTTTAGGCTCTCCTTTCTTAAGCATTTATTTAATATGCAGTGAATTTTGAAATATTGTTATATTTTGCTTTTACTAGCTCCAACAGCTACTGTACTCACTCATGAGACAAAGATCTCATTCGACCCATTATTTAGCTTCTATTTTACTTAATTTAGGTTATATGTTTTAGATAAGAAGCCATTTCTCTCAAAAATGATGAAATCAGCTCATAGTTTTTTAACCATTATTTTTAGAAATGATTTTCCATATATGTATGTATAGTTAAATGTATATGTCTATACATTTTTTTCCCCAAAGCTCCTCCCCTTTCCTCTCCCCCAAGGTGCTCATTCTAGTTTTCAGAATTGGTTCATGAATTTACAGCATTTGTTCCTGATGTACAGCAATTCTTGAGCTTATTTTAGATATTTTTTTAGGTTGAAAGTACTCCCCTTTAATAACTTTGCTAATTTTCCAGAAACCAAAATTAAATAGTTTTTAATAATGTTAATGTTTGTCCATGCTGGACGATGGCTTCTCTCTGTTCGTTACTGTGAGGGTGGCCATAATTTTTTAATGCTACATGATTGCATGCCTTCCCAGGATTTAACAGCAATAGTTCAATAATTTACTAATGACTTTCCTTTGGGTCATCAGAAGAAAAATTGTTCCTGAAGAAGCAATCAGCTAAATAAATGACAGTGCAGAGACATTTTCCTGGAGGCTACAAAGTGACCTATTGTAATATACTAAATTGGTTCTTCTCCAATAGGACATTCAGATCCTTCTTTTATTTCATTTTGAAGTGGAAGAATAAATGAGGAAAAATGTGCTCTGAAATTCTCTGTCCTGCTTTAGAGCATGTAAATAGCATCTCACACAAAAATTTTCAAGCTGTCAGGAGTAAGGCAAGTATGATAATTTAGGATAATTAAATGCTTAAGACAATCAAAATAGAACTGATGTTAGTATGCTTTCTCACTTAAAGGAAACTTCTTTTAAAAAGTATTTACTGATCTAAAGTCTTTCAATAGGGCAGTTAAAAAAATGTGATCTGACAATCCATAATATGGAATATTTTGCAGTCTTTAAAAAAGAAGAAAGGATATCTATGTGTATGGACACAGAATTTCTTAAAATTAGAAAAACTATGAATAATACATATTTTATGATCCCATTCATATAAAAATAGCAGAAGCACCAGTAAAATATATACAAAGAGAGAGGAGATTGGAAAGATACACACATTAAAGGGCACTCAGTGTTCTGTATTGAAAGCTTTTATTTTTATGTCTGTTTCTGCCACTCCATTGTTGCCAGATCAAATACACGATGTCCAGTTAAATTAGAATTTCAAGTGATTTTTTTTTGTATAAACATGCACTGTACATAAAAAAAAATTGCTTCTCTAAAACTCACATTTGAGTAAACTGTATTTTCGTAACTTTTAAATTTGGTAAATCTTGTAATTCTTCTTTAAGGAGATAATAGCATATGCCTTTTTGTACTCATATCAACCAACATAGCTATAGGGATACACTGAGTGCATAATAAATGGCAAGGGGGAAAGTAACAAAGGAAGGCACAATAATAGCAGGAAATACTCTAGTTGTGCTACATGCATTATCTCAATTCTCATAGAAACAATTCATTGTTTATTAGTGGTTCTGTTTTACAGATTAAGAAACAGAGGTACATAGGAGCCACACAGTAAGTGGTAGATCTAGAAATGACCATGTCAACAAATGTCTGGGTCTTGCTTCAGTAGGATAATCAACTGCTAGTTGTAGGAGGTAGGAGGACATGAGAAAAGGAAAGAGAATCAGGGCTGAAGGTTTGCTTCTGCCTATGCGGAACAGAGTAGGGCTTTGCAAAAACACACAGACAATGGTAACAACAAAAATTCATAACTTTTCTGAAAGGTAGATGTGGGATATAGATGAGTCAGGTGAGCCTGGGCCTGATCCCCACCTCCACTCCTTATTTCAACAGGTTACACAATTTATTTTTGCCTCAATTTTCTTGTCTGGAAAGCTGTAGAGGACCTACCTGAATACTGATGTAGAGAATAAAGGAAACAACTTTGGAAAGGGGATCAGTACAGTGGTGGCAAGTAGAGTCAATACAATGGAATAACAAGACAATACTACTACTGCAGATTTGAGAGGATATGTATTACTTAAATTCTAGGGTGCTTCTCTTTCTCCTTAACAAAACAGTAACTCTTTAGACTAGAACCAGAATTAATATCACGTTAGAGCAATAGTGTAGTTTTCTTCTAAAAGTAACAAATTTCACTTTAAAAATTATCAAACAGTAAAATTTGACTCTTTGGTATACTAACTTCTATGAATTTTAACACATGTATAGATTTCTGGAACCACTACCACCAACCATCACACTCAAGATTCACAGCTACATGACTACAGCTTTTGAGATTCCTTTGTCAAAATGTTTCACATTCATATTGCATAACAGATAAAAATAAGAAAAATGAATTTTAATAAGCATGCTGAAGATGTAAATTAATGAAACTTTGCACAAATCCCTGCAGTCTCCAGTCCCTTCAGGTCTTACACTATTGGGTCTGCAAACTATTACTTTCCACAAAAGTAATCAATCAGGAATCTATTGAGAGACAAGGCCTTTCTTCACACTAAAGACATATTCACAGGTACAAATTCCTAACATTCCTTATTTTAACATTTTATATCACTGAACCTTAATTTTCTTGGCTATGTTTTTTTCTAATTGCTTTTTTCACTGCAAAATGAAGTGTGTTCTCATACTTGCTGGGTAATTATTTGACTGGGATAGCAGGATTTAGAATTCTTGAGAGAGCAACTATGGAGCTTTCAGAAATCCAAGTCTCTTCGATTTAATAGATCCTGTTATTAGTTACTCAAGTGGTCTCTTTTCGCAGCTTTTTATATCCTACCTTCTCTTCCACGAGGGGGGAGGAGAAGTGGAGTGAATTGAGGGGGGCGGTCTTGGATGAAAGATTTTAGGACCAAATTTAAACTATAATGCTCCCTTAGAGTGGCGTCCCTCCCACCCACTACCCCTACCTCAATCCCAATAACTCTCCGGGTTTAAGCGATTTGCACTGACAGACAACTGAAACATCTGGTGAGGAGAGGAGAGCTGGTTCGATTTCTGGGTGACTCACGTCGTTGCTATTTGCCTTTTGTTTCTAAAATGCTTTGGCTGCCATTTTCTTTCCTCTGCTTTTAATTTTGAGAGGAGAAAGGCTAATAAATCAAAAAGGAATCCTCTCACAATCTCACCCCCCCCCCACCCTTTTAAAGTTGACTATCTCTATTCACAAGTTCCCGGACTATCCTAGAAGTGCAGGGGAGAGTCAGGTGCGGACGCATTAATGACACCTAAGTTTGAAGTTTAGATAATTTAAGATGTCACTTTGGTGGAGAGACTTGCCAAGCTCCCTTGGCAGACAGCTGGGCATTTTGCTGCTGTGCATTTTCAGCTCCTTTCTTTATGGCGCTGCTTTGCACTACTCTGTTACGCCTACATCTATCTCGTTACTGAGATAGGTAGCCGAATCAGGGTGAATTCCACGAGATTCACCAGCGGTTTTGCTTCTGTCCAAGGTAAATAAAGTATGCAAAACGAGGAACCACCAAAGGATGCCGGGGAGAGGGGAGAGAAAGGGATTCCCTCACCTTTTCCGGCAAATTCCTCTTTAATTTCCAGCCGGAGAAAGCGCGCAGCCCAGACTCACCCTCCATTGTACTTTCTTAAATGCCCCCAGCCGGGGTGGTCGAGGTAGGCCAAGGGGCCAGAGAAGTTCCTACGGCAGGCCCGGTCCTCCCCCGCCCCCGGGTTGGTTTTTCCCAACTGCGGAGGTTGGGCCAGGGGCTGGGGTGAGAGAAGAGTCGGCGCCCGCAGCGCGGAGCCGGGAAGTCGTCGCGACTCTGGTGGGACTCGGAGTTGTCATCAGACGAGGCAGGCGCGGAGGTGAGTGAGCAGTGTAGACGACTAGCCGGAGACACCAGGGCTCCTCCAGTTCTCAGACTGGAGAGTAGGCTAAGTCTGGAGTCCAAGCACCCCTTTGTTCGCGGTTTCTCCCCTCCCCTTTGGAGATGATTTGAACCCCTGTGGGACCCGGAGGGCTGGCGGGGGTGCGCACTGGAGCAGGGTGGAGTGGGGACCTCTGTACGCCCCTCCACTTCCAGTTAATCCGGGACCAGACTAAAAGAGATCAAAAGGCTCGTGTAACCTGAAACTTCCCTCTCACCCTAACCTGGACCGGGAGGTGAGGTCCTGGCGGGGGCGGAGATCCGGGAAGGCAGGTCGTTGGTGGAGGCGGGGGCGCGGGAAGAGCTGTGAGACGAGTTTGGTCCGGGTGCCGCTGGGGATTAAGCGAGAAGTTAGACGTGTGGACGAGTCAGACAGCGAAAGGAGGAGGGAGACTGGGAAGGTATATATAGCTACAGCTAGACCGGCGCTGAAGGGAGACCGTGCGCAGTGTCTCGGGACGCTGGCCACTCTCTGGGTAAGGCTGTGTTCAATGGGGTTGGCGGCGGCGTGGCCGGACGGGCTTTGGGAGGGCGGTCTTGGGGGCCGATCGGGGACAACCTCACTCGGAGAGGCCAGTTCTCGCAGTGCCCGAGCGGCGGCCGCCGCCTTCACATTCTTCCTCCACTTATCCCAGGTCGCGCAGCGGATCCTTCCAGAAGCGCCGACAAAGAGGCGAGGAGGTGCCACCCAGGGCGGCGGCTACGAGAGGAGCTAAAGGGGGAGCGCGAGCTGGACGTCCCGACCCGCCGTGCGTACTTTCTGAGGGAAGGGGCGGGGAACCGGCCCCGGGAGGGGGGCGCCAGTTGGCTGGGGGGGAGCCGAGTTCCGGCCGCGGCGCCTCCTCCGCTCCCACGAGAGGAAAGTTTTCTCCGACGCTTCCGGCCAGCCCGCGCCCTCTGGTTCCAGCCTCCCGAGTCTTCGGAGCGGGCGCGTCCCAGCCCAGCTCCGGGGAGGCCCAGCCGCGATGCCTGCGGGGTGCACCCGGGGCCCCGCTGCCGGGGACGGGCGACTTCGGCTATTGCGGCTGGCCGTGGTCCTCCTAGGCTGGGTCTCCTCGTCCAGTCTCAGCTCGTCGGCATCTTCTTCCATCCCCTCGGCGTCGTTCGTGGCCCATGCGGCGTCCGCCCAGCCCCCGCTGCCGGGTCAGTGCCCTCTGCCTTGCGAGTGTTCGGAGGCGGCGCGCACGGTCAAGTGCGTCAACCGCAACCTGACCGAGGTACCGGCGGACCTGCCCCACTACGTGCGCAACCTGTTTCTCACCGGCAATCAGCTGACCGCGCTGCCCTCTGGCGCCTTCGCCCGCCAGCCCCCGCTGTCGGAGCTGGCCGCGCTCAACCTCAGCGGCAGCCGTCTGCAGGACGTGCGCGACTACGCCTTCGAGCATCTGCCCAGCCTGCGCCAGCTAGACCTCAGCCACAACCCTCTGACCAACCTCAGCTCCCACGCTTTCTTGGGGAGCAACTTAAGCAGCAACGCCAGCATCCAGGACCCCAGCCCTCTAGTGGAACTGTACCTGAACCACATCGTGCCCCCTGAGGAGCAGGAGAAGCGGAGCTTCGAGGGTGTGGTGGCAGAGGCCCTAAGAGCCGGTCAAGCACTGCGCGGGCTTCAGCGCTTGGAGCTGGCCAGCAACCACTTTCTCTACCTGCCCCGGGACGTGCTGGCCCAACTGCCCAACCTCAGACATCTGGACCTGCGCAACAACTCGCTGGTGAGCCTGACCTATGTGTCCTTCCGCCACCTGACACACTTAGAAGACCTCCACTTGGAGGACAACGCCCTCAAGGTCCTTCATAACGGCACGTTGGCAGAATTGCAAGGCCTGCCGCACGTCAGGGTCTTCATGGACAGCAATCCCTGGGTCTGCGACTGCCAGATGGCTGACATGGTAGCCTGGCTCAAGGAGACAGAGGTAGTGCAGGGCAAAGCCAGGCTCACCTGTGCATTCCCGGAAAAAATGAGGAATCGTGTCCTCTTGGAACTCAATAGCTCTGATCTAGACTGCGACCCTATCCTCCCTCCATCTCTACAGACTTCTTATGTCTTCCTGGGTATTGTTTTAGCATTGATAGGTGCCATTTTCCTTCTGGTTCTGTATTTGAACCGCAAGGGGATAAAAAAGTGGATGCATAACATCAGAGATGCCTGCAGGGATCACATGGAAGGGTATCATTACAGATATGAAATCAATGCGGATCCTAGGTTAACAAACCTCAGTTCTAATTCGGATGTCTGAGAAACAGTAGCATACAGAACAAGGACAACTATGCATGAGATGTAGACTTACGCTTTTTCCTGTCCTAGGCTTCTTCCACCTCCACCCTCCACTATAGACACCACTGACTTTGAAAGCAGTGAAGGGGATTTGTTATGTAAAGTTTTTTTTTTTTCTCCCCCTTAGTGTGTTCTGTTAATGTATGACCCTGAACAACTGTGTGTAGTGTTTTACCTTTATCATTTTTTTGTGAAACTCCTCAATACATGTGGAGGGAATTTTCAAGTTTCAGCATGAACATGGACTCTTCCTGGTTTTGTTTCACTTAGTACAATTCAAGGTGTAGCAAGTGTAGCTACACAGATAGCATTCAACAAAAGCTGCCTCAACTTTTTTCAGAAAAATACTTTATTCATAAATATCAGTTTTATTCACATGTACTTAAATGGTGGGGGAAAATGATTGCATTGCATAAGTTGCCTGCAGACCTTAGCAAGCTCTTCAAAGTAACTCCATTGTACACAGGAGCACCTGCATCTGAGAGCATGCTTACATTTTATTGTTCTGCATATTACAAACATAACTTGCAACTTCAGATAACTTCTTTGACAAAGTAAATTACTTTTCCCGTTGCAGTTTATATGAAGCTACACTGAAGCTTTTTTTTTTAAATAAACTGCATCAAGATCCAACAGATTAAATGGTTTAAAAAAATTCAATAAAGATTCTCAAAAGAACTACAGTTGTGTTCAAGTTTGCTATTTGAAAAAAGGATTAGGGGCAGTGATCTTGAATGGTCTTGGTTCAGATGATAATTAAGCCCTTAGTTAACAATGCAACCATAGCAGTGTCTTATATAAATCAATTTTTGAAATGGTGGATTCTTTCAGGATATAAATCAAGAGTCAATATTCATCTGAACATAATTCTGGCCCTAAAGTTAATGCTATTCATGAAAGCAATTTGGTAAGATCATTGTGAAACTGGTTAAGAGAGAAGAGTTCTGTATAACACTTTATAGTTTGGGGCTTATTTTTAGACTAATGAAGTTGTTAGGGCAGAACAGTATTTACTTATTGAAATTATCCACATTAAATTGTTCTCTGGGGTTGAGAATGAAACCTATAATGCAAATAAATATGAAAATGAGTGTCTCAGGTAGATGTAGAATATTCAAAAATTAAAAAATTTTAAATGTAACTCCAAAAATTTTATAAGATCAATACGTAAATGGAACTTAAACTTTCTTAAGAATACTCTTTCAAATTTTAAATGGAACATACATGGATGATAGTTTTTCAGAATACTCTTTCAAATTTTAAATGGAACATACATGGATGATAGTTTTTCAGAGACCCTGTTAATGTTTTTAAGAAATTGTAGGCCTGGGATATGAATTTGGCTAAATAACCAAAGATAAATGTCAATAATCATAGACAAGTATCTCAATTATTAATTATTTTTTATTACTCAGTTCAGAATTTAAGAATTTGGGGCTATTTTATCTTTAGCTGGACTCTATGTTAGTATGTGCAACTGCTTGTGAAGAATAAATCACATTTAGATATAAAAGCAATTGGTAATCAATTGATACTATTGATACAGTTGATATTATTAATAACAGACATGGTTTACTCTTTTATAGTTTACTATTTTCCAATTAATGTCCAAAGGTACTCAATAAGCCACTGTAAAAGTGACTTTTAGTCATTATTGCTTAAAGTATACATAAGCTTGTCTTGGATCCTTTCCCCTTTAAATTGGTTATGTTTGAATACTATATTTGAAAGAAAATTTATATATCCCTACTTTTATATATTCATTAGGATTAGTTAGTATTTCAGATTCTAGAAATCTTTACCTCCTTTGGGTTAAATTCAGAAGTTTCTAAAAATAGAGCTAGAGATATATGAACCTGTTCCTTGTTTAGACGAGGTAGTCAGAATTTGAAATTTCAGTATGTTACTTTTCATAAAGCTCATTTTTTGAATGATAGTATTCATTACTTATGGGTTACACTTCAGTTCCTATAATTACCTGAGAAAAGGTTATTATACCGTACTTAATATGAACATTTTAAATATTCACAAGGGATTAAAAAATTAGCTACCATTATTTCCTGAGAAATGATGAAAAGATATTAATCTTCCCCAAATAGTGAAAGTAGCTAAATTGCAGCATACTAGCTCAGGAATAAGTTGCTGATGGACTTTCACTGGTTAAGTCTGTTGATATTATGGAAAACAATAGATTATGATACTTCTATAATTACAGAGAAGAATATTTCTCCATCATGTGATATTCTACCAGTTAAAAATTGGCTTTATTTAAGATCCTTGAAAGCAGTGGATTTGTTTGTCCAGCTTTTCTCATCATTGGCACACTAAAGTAGAATCTGTGGTATGGAAAGCCAAGTTGTCTCCTGTGAAGTAGATGACTTTTTTGCATCTATGATTTCTTGCTTCATTTTTATCCCCTTCTTCCCTTATTGAAGGCCTAAATTTGCTACTACTTTCTTTTCTATTAAATCACTTGCTGTTCTCTAATACATTACAACAGAAAATTCTTAGGGTGAAATATACTGTTTGAAAACAATTTTACTGTGTAGTTAAAATACTCTTTAAGTCTACAAAATTTTAAGGCACTATGAGTTCTTTGGAAGATAGCCTAAGAGAATATAGACAGAATGAAATAAAAATAAAAGTCATCACTTTGTTTACATGCAATTGTTTTAAACACTGTTCTTTACCACCATATTGCATTGTTGATCTTAGAAATCTACAAGTAGTCTACTTTAAAAATTTGTATTTTAATTGGTAATACCCTTTACTACTGAGATTAATGAAGTTTTCAGCAGAAAACACAATTCATTTATCCTTTGCAAATTTTATTGGAAAAAGTAAGGTAAATATTTAAGCACTTGATAAAGCTCCTAAATTTAAAAACTTACTAACATGTCCAATAAATTTCTAAAGATTTTAGAATAATACATTGATTTGACTATGAGTCCTAATCTCCCCTTTCTTTGCAACCATTCAGTTTGCAGCATTAATATTTGAATCAGTGGTGACCTATACCTGACCTATACCAAACAGTTGTGCCTGGGATCTAATAGATTTTTCATAATAAAAAGACTCTGAAGCACATTTAATAAAAAAGAAAAACAGCTACATAAATTGATATTATCAATAGTAACAAGATCTTTATTTTCAAAGGTAGAGAAAGGTTTGGTAAGCAAATCACAAATATTAAATCCTTTGAAAGTATCTTGATTAGCAGCAAATGTGGATTATGTCTAGCTTGATATTTAATCAGAGATAACTTACATCTTTGTCTTTGGTCTTTTTAATTAAGGTAGATGAAAAAGAGAAGGTACAAATGCACTGGGATTGTTTCATCAATTCTCTTTTACTCTACCCCTTTTGGTCTGAGGTTCCAATACAGGGCTTACCTTGTTGAGGACGTTAGAGGATTTTCAGCTCTAGGCATCATTCACAACTTTTCTGCTTTCCATCTTAAATTTTTCTGAAGGCTACCCTAAAAGAGACACAATCAGGATGGGCAAGGTTAGAAAAAAATTGCAAGGGCTTTCTGTTCCATGTCCATTCAGCCGTCCAGCCTCAGAGAGCAGCACCAAAAAGTGAAGGCAGATGTTTGTTAGATGAGATTCAGGTTTCACTTTTACCCTTATACAAAGATTTTCACAGCAAAGGACAGAGAAGTGAGGGAAATAGCTTTCAAAATAATAAATATATTAAAAATATCTTGACAGTGCCTTATAAAAATCTTTCAGTAATACCACAATGCTGCACTAGAAAGGTAATTAGCTAAAAACCTATATTCTCAATTGCCCAGGCGATCCTGTTCTTTCAGATGGGGAAAAACAGTTCTTTGAGGATGTGTGTACACTTATTTGAAAGCACAGACTTTATTGTGCATTTTATCTTGAAACAGTTTTGTAGCCCTATTTTGCTATTCATAAAAAAATCTAGATTTTTAAAAATGCTTAATATGTGATATGTAATCTTGATAAGAATATGAATTTTGAAAGAGCTGTTGCTATGTCAAACCCAGTTTTCCATTCTGCAAATGAAGAAACTGGTCACTGTGGCTTATTATTTTATACAACAGCAACTAGGTCTCGGGTTCTTTATTGCGAGGGCTCTTGTGCCAACTGACTACCTACTTGGAGACCCTTGAAATTCCTATATTGAATCAAAGAAAGCAAATCCTGTGGCGAATTTATCTTATTGTTTTTGCTTTGAGTAAATGTTTCAGTTTGCTCTAAATTTTACTTCCAGTATGTTAAAGATGACTTTGTTTTAGACCCTGGACTATGCTTACATAATTTTGAAATAATTTTGGTATAGCAGTCTTATTATTATGAAACTCCTCTGAGTCCATGATATAATAGGAAATATTTTGGAAATTTCACAGTGATATTTCTTTTGGAAAGAAAAATAAAACTGTGGAAAGCTGTGCTAGCTTGTTTAATACTATCTTAAAAGATGAGTGAGCTCAGCTGGTGAGCACACTAAACAAATGAGACCAAGTGCATGGCCATGAGGTCATTCAGTTGCCAGGTGAGAGTCTCTTTTGCATGCCTGAGTCTGCTCTCCAGGCCCCTGCAGCTTCAGGTACATGCTATGGTCCATCCTCTGAGAGCCTATCCACACAGGGGAGCTCAGTCAATGCAAACCCATCATCACTCTAGAAAACAGTGGACTCACTGGCCCAGCCCTGACAGCCTGCTGTGGAGGTGCCTGTTTACTGTCTTTATATATGCAGGGCCATGGGGCAGACCCGTCCTGGCACACAGGCCACACATCACAAAGCTGCTCATGTGAATAGTTGGAAAAATCTTTCATGGTGCCTCTTAATGTGTGGTGTAGACAATTATGTTAGTTTTATTCTATAAAATAAAAGGAGGTGTAAGATTACAGATTATGATTACTACATCACAAACTTGAAATGTAAATGTTTATAAAAAATAGAAATGTCTGTTATATTTAGCTGACATTATATGACAATAGGATTTGTTTGTGGCTCATGGTTTCATTTAGTTAGTGGAAGGATACATTTAATTTCAAGGAAGCAAAAGCTTAAAATATGATCAACTCTAACACTTTTTGTGAAAAGTAAATATTTAGTACTGTGTTATAAAGAACCTGAGGATATCATTAAGGCTTTTTTTTTTTTTAATGAGAATTGATAGATTTTCCAACTGGCTTACTCCTCTTCCCCCCTCCCTCTTATTTTTACTACATTTTGTTTTGTTCTTTCTAAAGAGAAGCATGCTATGTAACATTACAAGGTGTCTATTTGTACAGGGGGAATAGGACTGATTGAAATGTTACATGAGTCTATCTACTAAAATACATTTCTTTGTAGGATACAGTTTCTCTCACTTTCACAATACAGCTAGCAAACTGTATTCAGAGACGTCTTTATCTTTCAATTAGACACATTCTGTGGCTATCCTTACTGGTCATGACAAACACATAGCTATTAAATACCCACAAGATATATTTTCAAATCAACTCATGTTTCTTGTAAGCTATTTAAAAATACAAGGGGAAAACGAAGTTGCCTTAATTGAGATAACTAATTTTGTTTATATTACATTGTCTTTTTACTTCTAGATTAGTGAGCACTCCCACTTTTTTTTAACAACTATTTTAACATCTGGCTTTTGAA